ATTTTTTGTATACTTTTTTATATTTAATAAAATTTATTAATTATTTAGTGATTATAATTACAAAATAGATAATTATTAAATTTTTTAATGATAGTATAAAAACAATTTATTTAAATTATTTGTAAATATTAATGAAACTGAGAAATATGTATTCATAATATTAATAAAGAAAATTGATAAATTTTTTTAAAAAAATAATATAGTACCATACCACTTGTCAATGAAATAATTCTTAAAATTGGCATTTGAGCATTACTAACGTGGAACATCTTGCTGAAAGAAAAAATGCCAACTATTCATTAGATTACTAGCAACAAGAGTCTTGTTGCTGAAAGTACATGGGCTTATTATTCATTAGTTTATCAGCAACAAGAATCATGTTGCTAAAAATACTATACTATTCAAAGAACTATCAACAACAAGGAACATGTTGTTGAAAAGTGAATGGCACACTCCCTCTCAAACTTTTAGCAACATGAGCCATGTTGTTGAAATCATGTTTCCAGTAACATAGCTTATATTAGTAAAACTACCCCAAGAATCTCACCGGAACTGATAGCCAAAAATTGGAAAAATTTTTACCAACATAAGCCACGTTGCTGAAATTTTGGTTTTAGCAACGTAGCTTATGTTATTGAAAATATTCAAAAATTTTGCTGGAATCTTTACCAGCAAAAAGCAAAATTTCACAAAATTTTTAACAACACAAGGCACGTTGTTGAAACAATATTTTCAGCAATGTGCCTTATGTTGCTGATACATCACCAACAAAATTCTTGTTGCTAATGTATCACCCACCAAAGCATTTCCAACCGAACTTTTAGCAATTAGAAGTATGTTGCTGAAGCAATTTCAACAACATGAGAACCTTTTTCAGCAACATGAAAGCATGTTGCTGAAAATAGGAAATTTAGTAGTGTTAATATCATGGTTTATACCACATTTTTTGTCCCAAATTTTAGTTTTATGTACCACTACATTACTTATTTAATATCTTGATGGTGCATATTACTCTCTTATCAAATTTAATTGTCTCACCTTTTAAATAGGTGGTTTAATTTAGTTGTCCCTCTTTTCATTTTAATAACACACACATTAAATGCTACTATTTCAAATTTTCAATTATCTCAAAATAGATAAAAATATATTAAAAATTTTTATTGAATTATAAATAAGGGTAAAAATATAAAGATAAGTTTTAATTATTATAATAAACAAATTGAATTTTTTAGTTATTGTGAATGGGTAAGAGAGTAGCAGTTATCAATTGTGCAATAATTGTTATATGATCGCTTGACTATATCTATAAAATTAATGGGACTAATTGTGCGAATTAAATGTGATTATTGATCAAGCAAAAATATTATGGTTTGTCTAACTTGTGCCAAGTTAATAATACATTAATTACACTTTTTTACTATTAATTTATATAATGCTAAAATATAAAAGTTAATTTTATTTTCAACATTGATGACATGTGTTAATTTTACTTTCAACATTGATGACACATGTATAACTTTTATTAGATAAATAATAAAATTAAAGTTAAATTTTATTTTTATAACAATTAATAAAAAAATATAATTAATAGAATCTTAATATATGCTTTAATGGCGTGTAATAAAAAAACTTAAATTAATAACATGATTTGGGATTTAAGCAACTCAACAAAAAATGAGGCTGCTTTTTTTATTATAAAAATTTTCAAAGAATTAAAATTGCTTGAAATTAGGAATATCTGTAGGAAAACTTTAATGTTGTACATGTTAAAATTGAGTTGTAATTCCTTCTTGTTAAGAGCTTATTGAGTTTAAACCTATACTAATAATTTTCACAACATATTTTAAACTCACAAAAATGATCACAAAAATTGAACTTCACACAAATATTTAAAAGTCTTGAACTAGTAAAATTAATCTATCTATTAAATCTAAATGGCCCATTGACAAGATCCCAATAATTAAATTTTTTTAACAATTCTATGGTTGACTAATTAGTTCTTTCCTCTTCAATTTTAATTGTTTTAGTTTTTTAATTTGACTTATTTAAATTTAATTTTTTATTTTTTATTTTAAGATGCTACTTAATATATTTATTTTTATTTTAACTTTAGTTTAATAACATAATTA